AGGATAGCCAGGGCTACACAAAGGAACTCTCTCAAAAAACAAAAAAGAAAGAAAGAGTGAGGGAAGAAGGAAGGAGGGAAGGAAAGAAGAAAGGAAGAGCAAGCTCTCATGCCCTTCCTGATTCTCTGGGCTATTCTGAGGGCCTCATGAAACACATGAGTAAATCCTCCTGGGACATGATGTTGAGAAGAGGGGGTGTCTCATATCACAGACTGGCCTCAAACTCACTAGGTAACTGAAACTAGCCTTGAACTCCTAATCTTCCTGCCTCCACTTCCCAAGTGCTCGAGTTACAGGCGTGTAGCACCATGCTAGGCAATAGGAGTACATTGTAATGGTAATTACTATTAAGATCATGAGAGAATACTATATAGATGTTCTGTAGCTTATAAAGTAATACCCCAATAAACCCTTTAGAAGGTGAAAATAGCCTTAATTTGAAAATGTATTTGATATACATAACCTACTAGATATCAAAGCATGACCTACACGCTGTGTTAAATGTGCTCAGAACACTGACAAAAGCCTGCAGTTGGGCAAGGTCATCCAGGACAACTTATTTTATAATTAAAGCACTGGCTGTTTGGTTGAACACTGTGCCAACTAAGTGAGAGAGAACAGGTATGTTCTCACCACCACGTCAAAAGACACTAAAGTTGAACCGTAAGTCAGACACTGTCTACAGTAAATCATAAGAATAAAAACTTGCTAGGCAGTGGTGGCGCACACCTTTAACCCCAGCACTTGGGAGGCAGAGGCAGATGGATTTCTGTGAGTTTGAGGCCAGCCTGAACTACAGAGTGAGTTCCAGAATGGAGAGGGCTGTTACACGGAGAAACCCTGTCTTCAAACAAACAGACAAACAAACAAACAAACAAGAACTTCATTCAGTGTAGCAGGTATAGTGTGGCCTATGCCTACAATTCCAGCCCTTGGAGGCAGAGGCTGGAGAACTGCTAAAGTCTGGAGCCAGAACGATGTACATACAATGACAGCTTGACTCAAACCCACACATACGGTGGTTTCTATTAGCTCACTCTTCAGTTGGTCCTAAAGAGTCACATCAGGTTCAAAGCTATAATAGAAAGGACAAGGAGAAAGAAATCTGAGGGAGTGCTTGAGACATCTAAGGGGTGGGCTGGAGAAACGGCTCAGGTCAGCAACTACAGTTCACTCCTGGAGCCCACAAAAATCTGACCTCTACACATACACCACAGCATGTACACCCTGTTCTCCTGTATCCTGTGTTTCCACGTAATATGGAACATGAAAATAATAATAAATACAATTAAAAAATAAAAATAGACTGGGCATGGTGCACACACTTTTAGTCCTAGCACTCAGGAGACAGAGGCCAGCAGATCCTCATGAGTTCGAGGCTAGCTTGGTTTACTTAGCAAGTTCTAGAACTACATAGTGAAACTATGTCACAAAAAAGAATAAAGTAAATAAATAAATAAATAATAAAATCACAAAATGGGGGACTGGAAAGATGGTTAAAAGCACTAGCTGTTCTTCTAGAGGACCTGGGTTCAACTCCCAGCACCCATGTGGCAGCTCACAACTGTCTGTAACTCCAATTTCAGGAAATCCAGTGCCATATTCTGACCTCCACGGGCATAGGAACACACATGGTACACATACATACATGTAGGATAAATATATACACACATGAAATAAAATTAAAACACAGATACAGAGGTGCATAAACACATGCACACACACAAATACACAGTGCAATATCTTTTGTTATGGTGTTTTGAGACAAGGTCTTACTTTGTAGCCCAGGCTGGCCTAGAAGTCACCACATAACCCAAGCTATAATCTTCAAGCCTCTGCCTCTTCAATGCCAGGAATAAAGGTGGGTGTGCACCACCACATTCAGCTATACAGTATATAATCCTATGGGGGTGGTGTGTGGGTGTGGGTGTGTGTGGGATGCTGGGAAAGCAGTCCAGAGACTGAGCACTTACTTAGCATGTGCAAGGCCCTGAGTTTGACTCCCACTTCCATAGGGGTAAAAAAAGGAAAAATAAGTTCAAAATACTCCCCAGCAAAATAATGCAGAGCATAAATGAACATTTATAAAATGACACCAGGATCCAGTGCTGGAAGATACTGATTTTAAATCTTATCCTGAGAGAGAACTGGAAAAGCTAGAACACTAACACCAGACTTATTCTGAGGCAGAAACGAAACAGGTTTTGAAGAAGGGAGGGAGTACGTGGCTTACACTGCGGTCGAAAGACCTAGACCTGCAGTCATGGACAACGAAGCTCATCTGTTTCCTCCCTGCTTGTAAACTTAGGCAGAGTCTTTATTTTCCTAAGATTTACTTCTTCATCTACAAAACTAGTCCAACTCCAGGGACCTCATATTTGTTTTGAGACAAGGTCTCACTATCTATCTATCTATCTATCTATCTATCTATCTATCTATCTATCTACTATCTATCTATCTATCTATCTATCTATCTATCTATCTATCTATCTATCTATCTATCTCCCAATCCATATATATATATATCCCAAGCTGGCCTCTAATTGAAAGCAATCCTCTTGCCCTGGCATCCCAAAGTGCTGGGCATGAGCAACCAAACCTGACTTTTCATAGGGTTAATGAGGAAAAATAATTAAATATGCCTGCCACATACAAAGCCCTGAGTATGTGATAGGTATTTTTTTTTTTTCAAAATGTCTAAAAATCATAAAAATGGAACTTGGAAGTAGGAGATATCTGTCAAAATGACCTCTTAATTCTCTATGATCAAAGCTAGACATCGTGAATGGGTTTCAAGTTTGACAAAGACGGGGACCAGGGCTTGGGGACGTAGCCTGGTGGAAGTGTACATGCTCAGCATGCGGGAGACCGGGGGCAATCCGCAGCCCGTGTGCACACACACAAAGCTTTATGGGAGAGAACTATACCCTCGTGCATCAGTGGTGAGCCATCTCCATCTAGCTCACTGAGCTTCCACAGCTACCTCTCACTAACAGGAAAAAATCTCCTCAAGGTCTCCTGCCCCACCACCCTGGCTCCAAGGCTCTCCCCCACCTCCCCTGATAGATGGTCACCTAGGCCAGAGACGGAGTGGGCTACTTTCTCCTAGGACAGCACTGCTGGGCAACCCTGGTGCCCTCTCCCTTGGTATCTGCTATCATTTCCACCTCACAGCAACGTCTACGTTTGGCTATCACTGCCTCTCTGGGCTGGCCCACACACGGAAAGTCAAGTCTGCAGCCCTGGAGTATCTGAAAACAGCTATGTCTGGCTTTAGTCTTCTCTTCTTCTAAGAAGGAAACAGGAGTAGATATATCAAGGCACCTGGAGAGATAGGGAAAAAGGGAAGCAGTGGGGTGGAGCCATTTTCCTAGGTCACTCCATCACCCAATGTGCTGGTCCTTCCCCTTCCCAAATCCATCCAAGCCAGGCAAGCAATAGAGCTGAGCAAGTAAGGGCACTCACCATCGAGCCTACGTCAGCTGGATCCCCAGAACCCACACGCAAGAAGGAGAGAACAGGCTCTCCCGCATCCATCCAAGTCAGAGTATGATCTCAGACCATACTTTGCAAAACTTGGTTAAAAATATGTCTTTGAGCCAGCGTGGTGGCTCCCACTTGTAATTCCAGCACTCAGGCTAGGGCAGGAGAACAGAAGTTCAAGGCCAGACTACATACAGCAATTCAAATCCCACCTCAAATCCCCGCTCCCAAAAGATCAAAATGCCGATAAAAATTGTGCCTATTGGACGATTTCTAGGACGTCACTGCCCGCCCACTCCAGTAAGCATCCTTATCCCTATTACTTCCCGAGGCACATACCAGTAGCGGTTTGCATCCATGAATGTCAACTGAAAGGCCAACAGACCGTACAGATAGGAGTGGTTGTTCCACGACGTCTTGTCCAGGAGGAACACGTACCAGTACGGCAGCAGGAACAACACACAGCTCAGCCGGTAGCACAGGCCCAGCAACATGCCCAGAGCCCCTGGGGGTTTGTGAGGAGAGGATTCAAGGTCAAAGCATCACCACAGGCCCCGCTTCCCTGGGACTGGAATTAAGAAAAGTCGGCAGGCATTTTATAACCAAGCAGAGAACAAAATGAAAGGAGGGTAATGGGGCCGTGACGGCTCACGTGACGCACAGATGAGCGGCATGAAGCTGAACCACAGCAGAAGTGATACAGACATCTGCAGTTCACCAGCCTGCTTCTGGTGAGTTTCCGACAGGCCGGTCAATTCTCCCTGGTTCTGATCCCCGGCACCCAGTTCCCCTCACCCAGAAACATGATGGTGTAGACAAGATACATCCAGTCAAGTGGCAGCGGGCGCAAGGCATCCAGCAAGGGGAAGCGGCACACATCCAGCCCATCCAAGTACTTTCGGTCCAAGGAGCTAAGGCCTCGTTCCTGGGGAATGTCCAGCAGCATCAAGAACGCTATAAAGGCAAGTGGGGGAAGATAACTGTTGGGCATCCACTAACAAGGCAAGGCACAGCTCTAAGTATGCCCAGCCCCACACTTGAAGTTTAACACCAGCCTGAGCTACACAGTGAGTTCAATTCCAGCCTGAGGTAAACAAAAAAACCCTGTCCCAAAAAACCAAAAGAACAGTCACTACTATTAATACTGAGCCTGTTCTCTGCTAGGAATTATGCTAGTTGTGTGGTCTGAGAAATCCTAAAGCTCTGTGAGCAGATTCCCACCTGTAACAATTGTGCTCACACTTGGTGCAGGGGTAGAGAGGTTGGAAAGATGGCCCAACTGAGCAATCAGATCCCGGTATTCACATAACAAGCTGGGAATTCTATGCACATCTGTAATTCCAGCTGTGAAAGGGGTAGAAACAGGAGGCTCGCTGGCTTTACCAGCTTCCCGCCTGTTGAGAAACTGCAAGCCCCAGGGGCTCAGGGAGAGATTCTGCCTCAAAGGAATGAGCGAGTGCAGTGTGACAGAGATCATTTTCTAGCCTCTGTGCTCAGGCACAGGAACTCTCACCTGTGCACACATGTGGGAGTGTGTGTATGTGGGAGTGTGTGTGTGTGTGTGTGTGTGCATACACTCACACAGTAACAACTCTTTAAAAAAAGAAAACTTCACAAGCCAGTGTTCCTAGAGCACACCTTTAATCCCAGCACTGGGGAGGCAGAGGCAAGCAGATCTCTGTGAGTTCAAGGCCAGCCTGACCTACACAGATAGTTGTAGGCCATCCAGGACAGTGAGATCCTGTCTCAGCAAAACAAACAACAAATAAGACAAACAATAACAAAATGTCACAGGGTTGAAGATAGGATTAAATAAGAGCTATGTACAAAACACTACAGAAACTGTTAGGGTTCAGTTATTTATATCTATAAAGATAGGCTACTGAGCCATAAAAAGTGTTCCAGAGGGACCTTAACATTTCTTTCTTTTTTCTTTCTTTCTTTCTTTCTTTCTTTCTTTCTTTCTTTCTTTCTTTCTTTCTTTCTTTCTTCCTTCCTTTCTTTCTTTTTTTTTTTTTTTTGCCTTCGGACACACCCCGGAAAGCAGAGGTATTTGGTCAACACACTAAGATAAATAAGGACACTCTGATCTGGAAGCCAGTTTAGGTTCAGGGAAGGTTTCTCAATCCCAGAAGCAGTTGCATTAGCCAGTCTGGTTAATTATCTGTAGGACTTTTACTTGCTCATGACAAGATATCTAGTGCATCCTGGTACCAGCACAGATGCCAGCAACCACCTATTCCTCTTCTCCAAACGTTCTGACAATTAAAAATGTCTTCAGGGAGCAAAATGGCCTCCAGCTGGAAACTACTAGACTTAAAGGAGTAATATCTTGGCACATCTGTAACCCTGTCAGCTGTTATGGTTATTTCTCTGAAGGACTTACCATAGCGCCTAAGCAGCTTCCTAACAGGAACAAAATGGGTCCCTTGTCAGGTGTGCTGGTGTTTGTAATCCCAGCACTCAAGAAGAAAGAAGAGCACTCAAGAGGCCAGGCAAGCCTGGTCTATGGAGCAAGACCATTTCAAACACCACAGAGAGCTGGGGAGACCACTCAGTTAGTAAAAACCAAAGTGCTTCCTGCAAGCAAGAGTGCCTGAGTTCAGATCCCCAGTGCTCATGTAAAAAGCCCGGCCCAGTAGCTAGCGATCTCAGTGCTGTGGAGACAGGGGGACAGGATGACTGAGCCCTGGGACTTGCTGGCCAGCCAGTCTAACTCAATGGGTGAGCCCCAGGCTCAGGAGAGACCCTGTCTCAAAAATAAGGTGGAGAAATGATTAAGGAAAACACCTGATATTGACCTCTGGCCTACACATGTGTGCATGTGTGCGCGCACGCACACACACACACACACACACCTGGCGTGCCTATGCTTGAACCCATTCCTCTAATCTATGTATCCTATATAGCCTCAATCAAAGCATTTCTGAACACTAAACCCTAATGAGAGGTGACAAGGCCAGGTGTGATTCTAAACTTCCAAGGAATTCTTCCACTATTCCAATACCTTCAGCGCTAAGGAAAAGAGAGTATCTAAGAAGTAACCAAGAAATAGGTGACTGGGCTGAAGAGAATGGCTCAGCAGTCAGGAGCATGCACTGATCTTCTAAAGGACCAGAGTTGGGTTCCCAGCACCCACATCAGTCAGCTTACAACTGCCTTTAAGTCCAGTTCCAGGGAATCCAACGCCCTCTTCTGGCTTCTACAAGCAAGCACAGACCTGGCATACTTTAGACAGAAACTGTCCTGATTAAACTTGTCCATTTAAAACAATCTAGAGGAACCTCAAATGAGAAAATGCCTCGATCAGATTGGCCTGGGAGCATTGATGTGGGAGGGCACTGCCTACTGTGAGGGCAGGTGATCACTGGCGGTATAAGAAAGCAGGCTGAGGAGTCCATGAGGAGCAAGTCAACAGCAACGTTCTTCCATGGTCCCTTCTTCAGTTCTGCCCTCCAGACTCCTGCCCTGACATCCCTTTATGATGAACTACACCTGCGGGCTGAAATAAACCCTTTCTTTTCCATGTTGCTTTTTGTCATGGTGTTTTATCACAATAATAAAAAGCAAATTAACACACAAAAAATAATAACAAATCTTAAAAAGAAATAGAATGCCATTTTCCCAACCACAACCAAAATATATCCCCATCTAGAAAATGAACTTACCAAAGAGAAAACGAAAGACAGCCAGGTTTGCGGGGTCCGTTGGTCGGTTAAGCAGGGCCACGACACTCTGCCAGCTAGATAAATCTGTCCATTCAAACCCCAAAAGTTTCTCCATGCGGCTGCCCTGGCTGAGCCCTGATGTCCGCGCGGACTTGTTTTTCTGCACTTTATCTACAACCAAGAAGTGGGGGAAATGTGTGCACAGGAAAACCGAAGTCCCCAAAGCCTAGGGTCTCTGCCCACGGGATTCTCCCATTGATCGGACTACTGAGCGCTTCTGGGTTGCAGGCCCTCCTCCAGGATCCTCCCACGGTCTCACAACCCAAGACTGCCATCTCTCTCAATGTGCCCCTTTCTAAGACACCGTCCCTCTCGCCAACCCTTAGCCTACCTGAGGCGGTAGCGGCCCGTGCAGAGCCACGGTGCAAAGCCATGACTGCAGGGACAGAGGAGCCTGTGCAGGGGGGTCCGAGCGTGCGGAGTCCCAGGACTTCGCTGTCTTAGGCTCCGCCTCCTCGACACGTCAACACACGCGCGGCAGGCCGGAAAGCGCCCGCACGGTCGTAAAGTCCAGAGCACAAGGGGCGTGGGGCGGGGCGAGGTGTGTGGGCGGGGCGAGGGGCGGGGCGGAGAGGTCCTGAGCCAGGGGCTGAGCCCGGAGAGCTTGCAGAGCAGGGGGATGGGGACAGGGCAAGGGGTTTGCGGGGGGGGGGGGATGGGCCGCGCAGGGGCAAAGGAGCATGCGTAAATCTAACCTTGGCATTGTGAGGGAGGAGTGACCGTTCCCAGAACAAGTATCTCTCTGCTAGCTACCCATCACACACCTCAGCTTCAACCCCTGACGCCTCTGTTTTGTTGTTTCGAGGCAGCGTCTCTCTTTGTAGCTCTGGTCTTCCTGGAGCTCGCTTGTGTAGACCAGATTGGCCTAAAACTTACAGAGATCCATCTGCCCCTGCCTCGGGAGTGCTAGGACTGAAGGCATTCACCCCCATACCCATTTACCTCCTTTTGAGACAGAACTAGGCGGTGATCCTCCTCCTGCCTCTGTTTCCCAAATGTTTGGATTGCAAGACTAAGACATACTTTACTAACCTCCTTATGTCCTTCCTGAGTCCATCAGGTGTCTCTGGGTTTGAATGTCCCTAAAGTGCTTCTTGGCATTAAAAAATAAAATAAGTCGAGTGGGCTAAAGGGGAGACTTTCCCACAGACGAGAGAGTTAAGGATGCACTTGGAAGAACTGCCCCTATTTAAGGCTAGTGTGCCAACCTTTCTGTACCTAAAAGAACCCCTAGATTTGAAAGCAGCAGGAAGGTAAAACAACGGAGAGATGCGGAGCAAGCGCTATGCGTCCAGCCATCAGTCAGAGGGTCTTGAATACAGTTGTAACATTCAATTCCCTGCTGGAGGTGGCCCACAGAATAAGGAAAAGCACCCAGACCAAGACACTTCACCAACATTTTGGTCTCAGGACACTTTTACACCTTTGGAAACAGAGGAAACTAGTTTTCTGTATTTATTTTTGTTTTGTTTCGAGATAGGTTCTCATGTAGCCCAGGCTGGCTCAAACACTGCAGGGGAGGATTACCATGAACTATGGATCCTATTGCTTCTACCTCCTGAGTCCTGGTATTACAGACATGTGCTATGAGTTCTGGCTTTTTTTTAAAGTGTGTGTGTATGTGTGTGTAATGCTGGGACTCAAACCCAAATCCTAGAGTACACTAGGCAAGCACTGTACATCTGAGCTACAAGCCCAGCTTTGAAGATGTTTTTAAAGATCTCTTTTTATTAATGTGTGTATTTGTGTATCTATATGCCTTGTGTGTGCAGGTGCCCACAAGGGCCAGAAGAGAGTGTCAGATAACCCATAGCTGGAGTTACAATGGGTTATGAGCCCCAGAATGTGGTGCTGGGAATAGACCTGTGTCCTCTGCAGAGTAGCAACTGATTGCCTTTCCAGCTCCTATTTTGAAGAGCTTTACATTGAGAAGATTTTTAAATGCGTATCTAGGTGGTGTGGAGAGAGGGCAGCAGTTCAGAGCATGTTTGGTCTTGCTCTTGTAGAGAGGACTGTCTTTAACTCCAGTTTCTGGGGGATCCCAGGCCTCTGGCCTCTGAGGGCACCTGCTATCATGTGCACATTCCCTCACACAGACCTATACACATAACTAAAAATAATAAAAATAAATTTCAAAAAATATACATCCATGCTAAATGTGGTGGTGCAAGCCAACACTCAGAAGGTGAAGCCAGGAGTATCGGGAGTTCAAGGTTGTCCTCAGTTATATAGTAAGTTCCAGACCAACCTATGTAAGAAGAGAAAACAAAACAAACAAACAAACAAACCCCAAAATTATATAACGTACACATATACACATGTATGTTGACTTATTCAAATACAACTGAAGAATTATTACACGTTTAGGTAAATTACATCTGTAATGCAATAGGTGGCTGGTCTAGCATGTGTGAGGCCTTGTGTTTGATCCAGCAAGTACTACAATCTTTTGTGGAAAATAAGTATATTTCAGACCCAACCATAAGGCCCTTGTAGTGGTTTAAAAGAAGATGGCCCCCAAAGTGGCACTAATGGGAGATGTGTCCTTGTTGGAGGAAGTGTGTCACTGTGGGCATGGGCTCTGGGGTCTCCTATGCTCAAGCTACACCCAGTGAGACAGGCCACTTCCTGTTGCCTGCAATCCAAGATGTAGGACACTTAGCTACCCCTTCAGCACCATGTCTGCCTGCACACCACTGTGTCCCACCATGATGATAATGGACTGAACCTCCGACCTGTAATTGAGCCTCCACAATTAAATGTGTTCCTTTATAAGAGTTGCCATGGTCTTGGTGTCTCTTCACAGCAATAGAAACCCTGACTAAGACAGAAGTAGGTACCAGGGACTAGGATACTGCTATGAAAGGCCTGACCATGCTTTTGTTTGGAGGAATTTGGACTTTGGTACTTTGGGTTAGGAAAGCAGTGGAATGCTTTAAGCACTGCTTAATGAGCCATACTACTAGGAGCATGGGAAACAGTGGTGATAAGAGTGATTTGAGCTGGTCAATGGTGGCCCACATTAAAGAATTCCAGCCCTTGGGAGGCAGAGACAGGTGAATCTCTGTGAGTTCAAGGCCAGCCTGGTCTACAAAGGGAGTTCTAGGACAGGCTCCAAAGCTACACAGAACCCTGTCTTGAAAAAACAAAACAAAATAAAAGTGATAAAAGTGATTTGAACTCTAGTGGGGGGTGGATGGGGGCTGCCTTAAAAGGATTCAAAGGAGAAGAATTTTAGTATGTTGCCTAGATATTGTTCTTGTGATATTTTGGATATATGTGGCTGCTTTGCTCTTGTCCAAAAGGTTTGTCCGAGGTGTTGCCTGTGAGTCAAGATATAAGGACTCTCAGCTCCTGCTCTAGCATCATGTCTGCCTGAATGCTGCCTTGCTTCCCGCCATGACAATATAAGCCACCCCAATTAAATGTTTTCCTTTATAAGAGTTGCTGTGGTCATGGTGTCTCCTCACAACAATAGAAACCCGAACTAAGACAGTCCTCAAGAGATAGGCCTTCTCAGAACCAAACACTTGGTGGCAGACCTGGTGTGAAAATGAAGACAGTCCTTCCTCAGTGCCCAGATAAGGGATTGGAGAGATGGCTCAGTGATTAAAAGCACTGGCTTCTCTTCCAAAGGACCTGGGTTTGATTCCCAGCACCCATATGGATGCTCACAATCATCTGTAACTACAGTTCAAAGGGATCCAATGTCCTGGCCAGTTCAAGCATCAGGCACACACATGATACACACACACATACATACACATAAAACATACACAGAAAAAAATAAACCTTATATTTAAAAAGATTTTGGCTTGACTTTTGAGCACATAGTGAGCTATGGAGAGGCCAGGTGACAAGCATAGAGTATGCCTCTAGAACAGATCATAAGAAACTGGCCTTTGATCTGCTCTGTGGGATCTGGCCAGTGACCCTCTGGCAGTGTCTGTCAGGCCCTGTTTATCTGTTTCCTTAACAAGCTACAATTATGGGACCTGATAATATCCATATCAAAGTGGTATATTCTTTTTGACAATTCATTTCCCTACAGGCTACCCCTTTAAATCACACAAAGTTGCATTTATAACAAGAATTTATCAGGCTAGGTAGTGGTGGCACACACCTTTAATCCCAGCACTCAGGAAGCAGAGGCAGGAAGATCTCTGAGTTCCAGGCCAGTCTGGTTTAGAGAGAGAGTTCCAGTACAGCCAGGGCTACACAGAGAAACCCCGTCTCAAAAACAAAAAATAAAAGTATCATTCAGATAATCAGAGCCCTGGCAGCATTTGTCTTGACACTGTGAAGTCACAGTGTTTTTCTGTTTTAACTTTTTTTTTTTTTTAATTTAGGCATACATGTATGCGCGTGTCATGTGTATGCCATGTATGTGCCCACAGAAGCCAGAAGAGGGGATCAGATCCCCGGGGGCTAGATTTACAGGGAGTTATCGATGCCCAGTGTGGGTGCCGGAACCTGAACTTGAGTTCTGGAAGAGCAGCCACTGCTCTTAACTGCTGAGCCATCTCTACACCCTCACTTTAGATATTTCTAAAGTCCCTTAATCTATTAATCTATTGGTTCACTGCTTTGTGATCCAAACCCAGATGACCACCTAGTGGTAGACTGCAGGGGTCTATAAAGCAGACAAATAAGTACAGAATATTCAAGAACAGACTCAGAAACATGCCTTAAAGTCGGAATCACCTGAATCATACATAGGTGGAATGAACTTTAAATCACCATTCCTGTTTTAATTTTCTTACCTGGGTGTTCTCCTGTGAGACCTCATCCTTTTGCTTTTGTTAATCCCTGCCCATTCATTCCATGCTCAGATGAGAAGACTTAGTTCTTCCAGCTTTGAACAAAAACAACTTTGAGGAACTGCAAAATAGTTACAGAGAACAATTGCCCAAGATTCAAGTGGAAAAAAAAAGTTTTTTGGGGGCTGGAGAGTTGGCTCAGAGGTTGAGAGCACTGATTGATCTTCCAGAGGTCCTGAGTTCAATTCCCAGCAACCACGTGGTGGCTCACAACCATCCGTAATGAGATCTGGTGCCCTCTTCTGGCCTGAAGACATACATGCTGTATACATAATAAATAAATAAATCCTTTAAAAAAAAAAAGTTTTTTTAATGGAACAGAGGGTGACTGGAGAGATAGTTCAGGAACTAAGAACACATGCTGCTCTTAGAAAAGACCACATTTTGGATCCCAGCATCCATGTCAGGTGGCTCAGTTTCCTGTAACTCCGGCTCTAGGGGATTTAATGCCTTCTTCTGGCCCCCATAGGCCAGAACTCATATTTACATACCCCCACACATAATTTAAAAAATAAACTAAATCTTTAAAAAATGGAACATGTGAAACAGGGTAAGAGGTCTGCAGAGCAAACATAGTATCTGAGTTTGGATACCTCACACTCATAAAAACCAGGCCTGATTCTGAAGCTCTGCGCTCCTGGTCCTGAGGGATGGAGACAGAAAGATGATTGCCAGGGCTCGCGGAAGCAATCACTAAGCAGTCAGTGAGCCCTGGGTTCATCGAAAGACCCTGTCTCAGAAAGATCAGGTAGAGGCTGGAGAAATGGCGTTCAATGGTTAAGGGCACTTATTACTGTTGCAGAAACCAAGATTTGGTTCCCAGCAACCACATGATGGCTCACAATCATCTCTAACTTCAGTTCGAGAGGATCCCAACTCCCTCTTGTGTCCTCCTGAGGCACTACATGCACATGGTGTATAAACATACATGCAGGTAAAACAAACACATAAAATAAAAATAATAAATAAATAGCATACACCTTTAATCCCAGCACTCGGGAGGCAGAGGCAGGCGGATCTATGTGAGTTCCAGAACAGCCAGGTCTGTTACACAGAGAAACCCTGCCTCAGAAAACCAAAATAACAACAACAATAGTAAGTCCTTTTTTTTTAAGCTTAGAAGATACCAGCCTGCTGGGCAGTGGTGGCTCACGCCTTTAATCCCAGCACTCGGGAGGCAGAGGCAGGCAGATCTCTGTGAGTTCGACGCCAGCCTGGGCTACAGAGTGAGTTCCAGGACAGGCTCCAAAGCTGCACAAAGAAACCCCGTCTCGGAAAAGAAGAAGAAGAAGAAGAAGAAGAAGAAGAAGAAGAAGAAGAAGAAGAAGAAGAAGAAGAAGAAGAAGAAACCAGTCTTTAACATCTGGGCTACACCTGCATGTACACATGTGCACACGCATACACACACACTGGAACATATGCATTAGAGTCAATGTCATCACTCTAACTTGGTTATGAGACAACCATTCCTCACTGCTCTGAAAGCTGAAGAAATAACCTGAGGTAGACAGAAATAGTTGCTCAGCATTCTTTAAAGGAAGTGACGTTACTCTGGCAGCATCCATTCTTGTCTAAGTCTTCCAACGTTAGAGATATGTGGTTATATGATGCACTTTATGCTCATAGCTGATGTATCTGAAGTTGGTGTTGAGTTTATATCAGCAGAACAGAAAATGCATTATTTTTACATTACATTGTGTAGTTAGATTTCTATTGCTGTCATGAAACACCATGACCAAAAGCAACTCAGGGAGGAAAGGGGGGTTTCAGCTTCCAGTTCCGCATCCCAGTCCATCACTGAGTGACATCAGGGTGGGAACACAAGGCAGGAACCTGGAGGCAGAAGCTGAAGCAGAGGTCCTGAAGGAGTGCTGCTTACTGACTTGCTAGTTCCTGACTTGCTCAGCCTGCTTCCTCATAGAACGCTGGATCACCAGTGAACTGGACCTTCCCACATCAGCCATCCATCAAGAAAAATGCCCCCACAGGCTTGGGCAAATGACTCTAGATGGCGTCGAGTTGACAGAAGAAGCAGCCAGCCCCCAATTCTTCTTCTAGCACCTCCGTGAATGGAGTAAACTGTCACTGGGCAGCTGGGCAGCTAAACCTCTGCTAGTACCTGGGTTATTTTTCTTCCATCAACCCCCAAAGTATATTTCCCACAAAACTCAGTGTTGTTTTATATACAATTCTCTTACATTTTTGTTCATTTAAACATAGCTACAAACTTATATTAGCTTCTCTAGTCAATCTGTTTTGAAATGTTAGTTAAAAGATATGAAGGAAATAGGGCCATACACATATTTAACTGGATAAGAGGAAAAATCAATTTAATAGCCTTTTTTTAATCACTGTAGACTTCTCTAGTACCACACCTATCCATACTGTACAAATGGTTTTATTTATTTATTGTATGTGTATGGGGGTGGTGGTGCTTGTCTGTATGTGTGAGTGTAAGAGCACTTGTCAAGGCCAGAGGACCACCTTAAGGTGCTGGTCTCCACCTTCCACCCTTAGACAGGTCTCTTTGCTGCAGCAAAAGCCAGGCTGTCTGGTTCGCAAGCATCCTGAGATTCTCCTGCCTCTGTTGCCAGTCTCCTCCTGAGAGTGTGCTGGGATTACAGCTGCTTGTTCCTTTTCATTCAGCTTTCATGTTGATTCCGTGGAGCCCAGCTGGGTCGTCAGGCTTGCACAGCAAGTGATTTTACCCACCAAGCCGTCCCCCAGCCCTCTTTATTAGTTTTGAACAGCACTGGAGGTTAGGAACCGCAGCTTTCTGCGTGCTCAGCAAACACTCTACCACTGAGCTATATCCTCAGCCCTTTTTCAATTTATTATTTTAAGACAAGGTTTCCATAAATTTCCTAGGCTGGCCTTGGATTCATTCTGTATCCCAGGCAGACAGTGAACTTGTGATCCTCCTGCCTTAGTCTTTCAAGTCCTTTGAGGCATATACCACTATACTCAGCAAAGTAAATTGTCTTTGGTACTGAGGGATTCAACTTAGGACATTGCACATAATAGACACATGCTTCACTAGTGAGTCAAATCCCAGCTCATCAAGGGCATTCATAATTGAAAATGGTATTATTATTTTTTTAAACAGGATCTCTTTATGTAGCCCTGGCTGTCCTGAAACTTGCTATGTAGACTAGGCTAGTCTCAAATTCACAGAGATCTACCTGCCTCTGTCTGCTGAGTGCTGGAATTAAAAACATGAGCCACCATGTTCTGCCAAAAACGGTATTATTAAAAAGTTGGCCATGGTTGCATATGGTAATAATCCTTGCATGTGTGAGAAGAAAGCAGGGGTTGTTACAAGTTCCATGAAAGCCAAGTCTACTTATGGAGTTTCAGGATGGCCAGGGATGCATCACGAAACTCTATCTCAAGAGTCCAAAACCAAGGAAATTAAAATGGTACTTTTTAACAATTCTGAGCTGAGGGCTGGGCACAATGCCACCTGCAGCACTTAGGAAGCAGAAGCAGGCAGATCTCTAGGAATTATGAGGATGATATGGTCTATGTAGCATGTTCCAGGCAACAAGGCCACTTAGTGAGGCTCAAACAAACAAAAAAAGTTGCAAGCTGAGGCTGGGGAGATGACTTAGTGGGAAGCCTGAAGACCTGAGTTTAGAGTCCCTAAACCTGTGTGAAGCCCAGAAGTATGCATCTGTAATCCCAGTGATTTTAAGGAGAGACAGGAAACACAAACCAGAGAACTCCTGGAAGCTTGCAGGGCCAGTTAATTCATCTGTCTAAGCAACAGTGAAAATCAAGAGACCCTGTCAAATAAGATGGATATTAAGGACCAACATCTGAGATTGTCCTTTGACCTCCACATGCACACCATGGCATGTGCACACCCTCACACACATGAACAGACACAACTACACACCCACATTGCAATCTGGGGAGCTAGGGATGTAGCTCAGTTAGTACAATGCCTTCTAAATGTGCATGAAACCCTGGGTTTCATGGGAGGTGGAGGCAGGAGAATTATAAGTTCACAATCATCCTGGGTTACTTAATGAAACAGCCTGGGATATATAGCACCATTTTGAAAATTAATGAGGGCATACAAAGATAGCTCAGTAGTTAAAGAGCACATATTGCTCTCTCAGAGACCCAAAGTTCAATTCCCTGCACCCAAATTGGGCAATTCACAACCACCTATAACTCCAACTCTGATGCTTCTGGTCTCCATGGACATGTGCACTCATGTGCACATATCCACAGGCAGACACACACAAACACAGACACACACAGATATACACACATGTACTAATTAAAAGTAGAATAAAGAGGACTAGGGAGATAGTTCAGCAGTTAAGAGCACTGACTACTCTTCCAGATGGTCAGGGTTCAATTCCCAGCACCCACTAGGAAGCTCACAACCATCTGTAACTCCAGTTCTAGGGGATCCAAGACCCACTTCTGGCCTCTGTAGGCACCAGGCTCACATGTGTTGCACAGATATACATTCAGGCAAAACACTCACACACATTTAAAATTTTAAAATAAATAAAAATAAAATAAAGTATTTTTTAAAAAAATCAATATGGTGGCTGGAGATATATCTCATCAGTTAAGAGTGCTTGTTTCAGCTGGGTGGCAGTGGTGCACACCTTTAATCCCAGCACTTGGGAGGCAGAGCCAGGCGGATCTCTGAGTTTGAGGCCAGCCTGGTCTACAGAGTGAGATCCAGGACAGACACCAAAACTACACAAAGAAACCCTGTCTCGGAAAACCAAAAAAAAAAAAAAAGTGCTTGCTTCTCTTTCAAAGGTCTCAAGTTTGATTCCCAGCACCCACACTGAGTGGTTCACAGCCACTATTACTCTGGTTCCAGGGTGATTCAATGTGTCTGGCCTCTGAGGGTATCAGGGACACACACACATACACATAATCTAAAAGAAAAGGAAGGAAGGAAGGAAGGAAGGAAGGAAGGAAGGAAGGAAGGAAGGAAGGAAGGAAGGAAGGAAGGAAAGGAAGGCTGGAAATATGACTTAGTAGTTAGCATTTACTGCTCTACCAGATGATCATAGTTACAGGAAGCTC